CCTGACCAATGGGTCTTAAATCTGTAACCACATTAGTAAATAAAATAAAGATAGAAATTTTTCAGAAATGTTTTCCAGCTCTTGTTACTTATTTAGCCCATCATATCTGTAATTGTGCCTCTAATATGTGGTGAGAACTTTCCTGGCTGCTTGTTAGAAGTACCAGTTATGGACTCACAGGCCCATTGTCCCACATTTTACGTAATTTCCCTGATGTTCTCAATTCCTATTTCTCTCTTTTTGAGTTTAAGCATAAGTCAGTATTTCTAAATAACCTCCTTTGGTTGCCGGATAAAAGGGAAGTAGCAGTAAAGGCATTAAAGGGTCCCATCAAAGATGAACCCCAAACCTGTGGACATCAGGGCAAGGTGCTCACATTTCAGTTAGCACCCTGAGGATGGAGAAGCTGATTTCAACCTAGAAGTTTAGTGGCCCCTGAAGAACCTTTGCCAACCTCACCTGCCCCTTCTTTATAAGTGGACTTGTCTTGCTTAGGTCAGTAAAGACTGTCACTGATTTTCATAGGAACCAGTCGCTGGGCTTTTAGCCATTTTGATGAGCATACAAACCTGAGGAATTCTTCACTGAAAGAAAAACCAAGAAGTTGTATCTACCTATAATTTTGGAAAATGATTTACCCCAAACCCCTAACCCCATAAAGGGGCATTCTGCTTCATCTCAAACAATGTATCTTATCGCTACCAAGGGCTTCCACTTTAACTTCCAACTGTCAACTTTGCCCTTGGATTAAAAGTCAGTTCCCTATTACCTGTTAAAGAGTAAAAGGCCTTATTCCCATCACACAGACAAGTAAAGAGAATGGACCTCATCTTTCCCCATGGATGAATGCTCAGGGCCTGAAGAAATTGCAAAATGCATTACTTAAGAAAACTATTTCCTGTTGGTGGTTGGCGAGAGGGAGGTGGTCAAAGGGTGGAGGGAGGGAGGAGGGGCTCTTTGAGGACTCTTTTTTTTTTTTGCCTCTTTTTCCATCCTTACATCCCAACAGCACACACATTCGAAGCTGTATGAGGTTTTGTTTGTTTTCAAGAGATGTTTGAAAGAAGATCAAATGCTTGTGAAAGGCACTGGATCGGCAGCCCTAGGAACTGAAATGTCCCGGAAGCTGTGTGAGCCCGGAAATATCCCACATTTCTATTTATTTTGGCAATTTTACTTAAAACTAGTAAGAGCTGGAGTTCATGCTACAATTAAATTTTCCTCAGGCACCATGAAATGAAAACACGTATTACATTTGATTCTAACTGGTTGAGAAAAATGGTGGTTTTTCTTTCTGAAAGTTCATTCTGTGACCTTGAAATAAAAGTTAACGGTTCCTCACATGGGAGAGCTGAGCTTCCATTTAAGATGGAATTATTCATAGAACTGGGGTTTTCTGGGTTGGAAGGACTCTAAGGTCATTGAGTCCTCTTCTATCATCTGCTTGAAACCTGGCTACCACCTCACCAAAAAGCACTGGCAAACGTGGCTTTGAAGGTTTTGGTGACAATACAAGACTCGCTTCCCCTTGAAGAGATTGATTTTTTACGTTTGTTTCAGATGGCTCTAATTTTCAGAACTAGATAAAATAATGTAACTAAAACTCTATAGGTGATTACCATATGCCAGGAACCATTTTAAGCAATATAATATGTGTTTGTACACACATGCTCCCATACACATTTATATAGATGTTATCTCAGTGAATCCCTCACAACCCTAGGAAGTATCATCAGTTAGCACCCTTGTTTGAGATGAGAAAACCAAGGCACACGTAAATGTCTAAATGTCATGATTTGCCCTGGCCACACAACCAGTGAGTGAGAGTCAGGATTTGAACCTGGGCAGTGTGGCTCTAGCATCTGTGTTCTTAACTGCTATGTTTTCCTCCCTCTTCAATCTATTTTAGGATTCCCCTTCATGCCTTGTGCAGAGGTTGGTGCACTGTAGGTGTTCAATAAAGATATTTTTCTACAATTTGGCACATTGTAGATGCTTCATAAAGATATTTTTTGACAATTTTACTTCAGGATCATGATTCCTTCCATCTTCCCATTAGTTTTGCAGCTGGTCATCAATTTGCCCCAAGAGAAACGGTAGAAACAAAAGAATTCTAAATGATGATGAATACTCTGCCTACTTTAAGAAAGCATTGGGGAGAGCAATAAGTGTACAACATTCACTATAAAGGACTATTCAATCAGTGGCCACTTTTCTCAGTAAGTCCTTGAATGCTCTCTGTATAAGCTCTAGAAGGAAGTTCAAAACATGCAAGGCTGTGTCAGTACAACTCCTTTGCTTCCTTTTTTACTCTGCCTTTGTCTCGCTGTCTCATGCAAGGACGAGAGGAATCATTCATCTCGGCACTGCTACTTATTTTTATGGCCTTCTTTACCACTATTCAGCGGCCTCTCTCACTTTTTTGTCCATCTGTTTTTATCCAGCCATCCATCTGTCCACCTGTCCATCTAGCATTACATGTATCACTGAGTGCTTAGCATTGACACTAGAGAGGAGGAGATGGAAAGACAATAATAATAGGTTCTTCCCATTTAGTCGATTCATATCCTTCAGAAACCATATGTAGGCATTCAAGGTGACTGCTTTAGAGCCTATAAAACCCATTCCAAAAAGAAATTATTTTAATCCATAGCGTGAGAGTCAAGCATTCTTTTACTAGGAGGTTCCATTCTTTTGTTTTTCTTTTAAAGTCTTTGCCTCACTCCTTTTGAATGAAATTTATTGTAGAGTATAATTATAGTTTATCCAAAGCTTTCGGTCATAAATGGCATTTACTCAGTCAACAATGAAATAGGGAAAAGAGATAATCCTCTGAGGAACCTTTCCATGGGACGAGTTGTTAGTTCTTCTGTGGAACTTGAAGAGCCATCTGTATTTGCAAACCACTCTTAGGTGGTGGTCACAGCAAGCATCAGCTCACTTCTGAGCTGGTCTCAAAGCATGGATGTCTTAGTGGAATAACTCAGCATCTCCTGAATTAGGTGGCTGGCTAGGTGGGCTTAGTTGCCAGCCTACCTGGTCTATTCAGATAGGCCAGGCTTTTGGAATCACAGCAGAAGTGGCTCGGCTCCCATCTGGGGCTTGACATGTATCTGACTAGCTTTTCCTCCTGGGCTGAGCCTTGGGCATGGCCTGTTATGTTACGTTATGTTATATTTATTATATTTTTCAGTGCACCGCAGAGGAAGAATGATCCTGAAGTAGAAAGCCAGCAATGGCATGAAGGGCCAGGCAGAAAGGAGGTTCATTTATACCATGACATCTTCAGAGTAGGTGATTTGGATGAAATGCTTCACTCTTGGTTTAGTCATCTTCTCACCACAAGTGTTGTCATGTGCTTGGCTAACCACTTCTCTCTTACACCCTCTCTCAGTTCCTATAGTTCATAATTTGGATGATCTTGACAATTTTTGTTTTATGTCTATGAAGACTCCAACCCTACTAGTTAGATCAAAGAAGCTGAAGGAAAAGATTTAGAAGACCTAAATTCTGTGGTTCTACTTAGCTTTTTGTTTTGTTTTGTTTTGTTTTGTTTTACCTTCAGGGAAATCCAGCCCCTTGCTCTCATTCATGCCCTTCCTTCCTTCCTTCTGGTGGAAAAATAGTAAGCTAATGGAAGATTTCGTGTGCTGTGTATTTCTGCCCTGACTTTTCCTTTCAGAATTCTTTCTCAGTCCATGTTGATTATGTGTGCTTTTCTCTGCTGGCCAGAAGGAGTGTAGCTTGGAACTCAAGCGTGCCTTCACCCTTCTGTGGTTCTTAGTATTCTTGTCTTTAAAATGAAGGGATTGAACCAATCAGTTTCACAGGCTTTTTGTCCTAGTGTTTCCATGGAACAGAAACTCACAGGATGTCATATCTGACCTAGATTCGCGTCTGTGTGTGTGTATGAGAGAGAGAGACAGACAGACAGACACAGAGTTTTCATAGCAGATGGCATCAGAAGACAGTAATCAGACAGTTATGGACTGAACCATGCTTCTCCTCAGCTGTTCATACATTCAAGGCCTGACTCCCAGTACCCAAAATGTGTCCTATTTGGAGATAAGGTGTTGGCTGAGGTAATTTAGTTAAAATGAGGTCAACCCCTTCATCTGGACTTCCAACTTCCAGAAATGTGTGAAAATATCTGTTGCTTAAGCCACCCAGTCTGTGGTACATTGTTAGCACAACCCCAAGCAGACAAATGCATCTTTTATATCTGATTCCAAAGTGCAAAAATAAAAAGGGAAGGATCAATGACCTCTTCTTCCAGGTTACCTCACTGGCCCCACAGGCCTTTAAGCAAACACTGAGTGCCCTTTGGCCTGAACATGCACTTGACTAAGAAACCCAGCCTCCAGTGACACCACAGGAAAGGAAATCTGGGAACTTCTGTGACACAATTCAGTCTTGCTGAGAATTTGGGGCTAATATTTAACTTTGGACATATATTGACATGGGCAGTTCTACAATAGCTTCACACAGAACTTTAAAATGCATATAAAAAAACTTGATTTTTTTTTAAATCTTAATTCTTTTACTCTTATTTGGTTTTTTTTTTTTTTTTTAGCAGGGAGGGGAATGTAGTGTCTTATTTGCCTCTTTCATAATTTGTGTTCCTTCTTTCAGTCTTGCCACTTTTTTTTCTCTGGGCTTCCTTGGGCATTACATTCATCTTTTCCATCCTCTCGATATTTGTTAGCCACATTCTACAGCAGCTTCCACCTCTTTCCATCACATGCATCATCTAGCTCCACCACGCCTACCGTTCTTCATTCCTCTATAGCACTTCCCACTTTTCTTTATCGCTGTCTGCTTCTCTCCCATCGTCCTTGCCTCTGTCTGCTTAGTCCTTCTCTCCTCCAGTTTCCTTTCTTGCCTCTGCGTTCAGTTTCTAGCTCCAGTCTCCCTTCTCTGCTCTTTCTTCTTTCCTTTCATCTGCTGACTTGCTTCAGTCCCCACCTTCTGTTCCCCTCCTGGGCGTTTCTTTGGCCCACCTTTCCTTCTCCTCTGAGACTTCATTCTCTTGGTGGTAGATGGGGGATGATACTGCAAACATCACAAAAATAATTGCATTGAGAACAAGTGGCTCCCTGGGTGTGTCCCAGAAAACAGAGCCTTTGCATCAGCCCGGAATGCCTGGGCTTCATGTGCTACAGGAGACAGCATTGGTGGTGGAGGGATGGCTAAGGCCTCAGTCACAAGACACAAACTTCTAGAACCCTAGGACTCATCTCTGACCACCCCCCACCCCTCCACCTCCCCCCCACCCCCGCTAGGCACTGTGAGGCAGTGGTCACCGGGGAACAGAAAGAACTACCCTGCATTTATCCCCCCAAGCACACTTCTCAGCCACATTCACTTAAGCTGCTTCTTTGGTGCTTGCTCCCTGACTCGCCGCCCCCCCCTGCTACTGCACTCCCCTCCCAGCCCCTTTCCATCATTCATGGTGGCTCCCTGGGGGTCACATCTCTGCTGAGCTCCTGAGTCCTCCCCCCAGCTTGGCAGCAGTGTAGGACCAGGAAGCAGCAAATGTGTCACTGTGAGCTTCTCAGTTTCTCTTATGCTCTCTGCACAATGCTAGCTAACTTTGGCTCCAGAGATTAAAACCACAGTTTTGTTTTTGTTTTTGGTTTATGGTTTTTTTAAACAGTGTCCCAGAGGGGAGCTCCTTGGGCTTTGCTCTCCTTACCCACCCTTCCTTACTTTTTTTTTCTCCTTCACCTACCCCCTACTCTTCAGTTTCATTTTTGCTACTTCAGGACTAAAATCTAAATCACCAAATCACTTCTATTCATTTGTTCATTCATGTATTCACTCTTACAACAAAATTTATCAAGTGACTAATAATGCATCAGATAATTTATGTACTTTTGATGGCATAAATAGTAGCTCTAAGGTTCATTTGAAATCTAGGTTTTAGAAAAAGACACCTATGGATTTTAGTCATTAGAAATTTCTAGGTTATTCTTAGAGCCAAACAGAAATTTCTATGTTTAGTGGTTTTTTTTTCTTTAATTAAGTTTGCCATTGAATGTGAATTTCAAATAATTCCCATTTTAGCATATATTTTTTCTTTGCACCTTCACAGATTACTAGGACTTGAAAAAAGTTGCATGCCTTGTTATTAATTACAATTATGAAAGATGTTAACACTTGTCCAACAGTTACTTCATGCAGGATGCGGAAAGAATTGCATGTGTATTTATTAATTCTGAAAACGAGTTGATGTGGTAGGTATTATTATACCAATTTTACTGATGAAACAGGTTTGGATAGGTTATGTTACTTGGTCAAGGGCTCTCAGTTGGTGACTGGACTTCAGTTTTGTCTGATACCAAAGCTCATGTTTAATGACTGTTCTCCACTGTCTTCTGGTATCAGATCATCCAGAGGAGTGGAAAGGAGAATCTACAATGTGGAGTGACCAGAGGGATGGAGCTCTGAAGTGAGGACGGTGTCTTTCTGACCTGTGAGCCAGGATATTGGCCGTAATTCCTATTTGGCCTCCCCACAGATAGAAGACACTTCAATGTCTTGAGGATGGTGGATCCTTCCCCGCCAGCTAGCTTACCTTCTGAGCCTTGGGCATGTCGGTGTGGCGCTGGGCACGGACTGAGCGGGCGGACTTGGCAGGCTTGAGGGGTGCACAGTACATCTCTAGCCTCCTCAGATCACAGCTCCGGAAGCAGCACTCATCCACGATGCCTGTCTGAGGTGCCCTCCGACTGCTGGAGCCGTACCCTGTGGGCTTGTCTGTGCAAATCAAACACAAGGTGGCCTGGCTTTAGAGGGGAATATGCTACCTCCACAGTTCCACCCAACCCCGGAAGCCTCTCTTCTCCCCATAGCTGGTCAACCTACACATCCCAATCTCTTCCTGAAGCTTCCCCAACAATTCCTGGCCCCACAAATCCTTCTGGATCCCAGTGTGGCTCTGGACTCTGCCCCACACGCCTTAGCACTAACTTGTGCACTGGGGATTTTGTGTTAATTCTTGAGTTCTCAGAAACCTGTTGTCAAGGATCTCGTCTACACCCAAACTGAGTCTTTCCTTATATATTCACTTAGTTTGGAGGCAGCTAGGAGTATTAATTAAATGAAGATCATGTGTTAAGTTTTTTTCATCTTTTTAGCAAATCTGCCTAGTTTTTATGCTAAGGATGGCTCAAGTGTTTGCTCTTTTGCTTGACTGCTTCCATTATAACATCAGGTTGAGTATCAAAGGAATTTTAAGTCTGGAAAGGGCTCCTCATTTTACTGATGTGAAAACAGGCCCAGAACGACTTGAAACAAGTCATTCATGCAGTAAGGGGTGGAACCAGGATTCAAGGTCAGATCTATCCCTGCATGTTCTGTAATTAGGGACAAGTCATTTAAACCTTCTGGGCCCCAGTTTACCCATTTGTAAAGTAGGTTTATAATGTCTTCCTTATAAGGATTCTTTGAGGATTGCATGAGATAATCATAAAGAAAAGATAAAGATAAAATACTTAGAACATCATTTGATGCAGAGCAGGTCCTAAATAAATGTTGGTTCACTTCCTCTGAGCACCCTTTTCTAGGGTCTTCTAGAGTCTGTGAAGAAGCAGCTTTCATATTAACTGCATCCAGGTGTTTTGGAACTTGAAATTGATAACAATACTAGTGTAATGGGCCTTCCTCCTCCATCACCATAGAGAGAACAGAACAATTGATTCTGTTTTCTCATAGAAGAGCTACTACCCTGAGAGAGAGAACGAGCTAAATGTCAATCCTTCGTGTGAGTCTCATTGCCCAGAGGCACATCATGAATCCCATTTCTTTTGATATTTGCAAATCAATTAGACCTCTTTACTTGGCAAGTAGGTTTTGGTTTAGTTTTATTTCTTATTGTTTTGATTCAGACACACTTTTCCTGGCTCTAAAATTAAAAAGAGAGGGCAAAACAAGCTTACATGAACTTGTCATAGGAACTTGAAAAGCACCTGAGTTCTTTGTAAACTTTTTGTCAAAGTAGAACTTCTGTTAAACCAAACTTTGCTTATACACCAATCGATAAAGCAGACAGAAGTGAAACTGCTGTGGCTCAGGGGAAGGCAGGGAGACTGGATCTTGGCTTTCTCTCATCTCTCTCATCTCTCATCTCCCTTGGGAGGTGCAGGGCCTGGTCTTCTGCACTGATATTCAGCCTTCATGGAGGAAAATTTGTGAACCACTGATCCAGAAGAATCCACACTATCAATCTGGCATATGTTCAGTCTTTATTCCTGACACAGAAGACAATGTCATATTTTAAATAAAAAGTCTTACGCTTGTATAATAATGACACTATTGTTGGGAATGGTGTTCTGAAAGTCAAAATCCCCATGTATATTTTGAACTCCCTGGTTGGGAAGATCAGACCCATGGAAATGGCCTGCTACCAAACTAGTTTGGCTGCTTCACTGCTTGAAGGGCCAACCGTTCATGGCATCCTCTACAAACCCAAATGTTTTCCTGATGTTTGGCACAGGAGCCTGGGGATGCTTCCTCCCCATAAGGCAGGTTTATTGTCATTCTTAGGGCAGCTGGGGGCAGTAATTCAGTGAGGGTTCATTTGTGGTCTCTTTGGGTGGGGTCTACTTTCTCTCTTAGGGGCAAACCCTGTGGGTGCCTCATAGTTGAGGGGTTTGGGAGGGACTAGGCAGCTGGCCCCAATTGAAGACTTAGTAGTGTTTTCACTTGCCATTGGAGGATCCACGTGCAGAAGACTCTCGTTCTGTTCGCAAGCCTGGCCCTGGCAAGCTGAGACTTGGCCAGTCCCTTGGGCAATGTAAACAATGTTTTTGTTTTTATAGTCTTTTCCTGGGACTATAAATTAGAGGAAAGGCACAAATAGGCTTACATGGTTCTTTGTAATCCACAAAGGACTTCTACATACTTTTTGCTAAGTGGTTATTTCAAGAGGTTGAAGGGGTCAGCCAGTTATGAGTAGCTGATACACTTTGGTTTTTCTCTTCGGGTGGGGAGAAGGTGACTCAGCCTACTTTGAGCTCTCCCTGTTGTCCACCACATGTAATGGCTGCTCTCTGTCGAAACTATAAACTTCTTAATGAGACATAATTGGGATTTTTTGTTGTTGTTGTTGTACAGTATAGAATAGTTTGATGTTTTAGAGGTGGGGTGGTAAAGGTGGTTCCAAAAACATCCAACCTTGGCTAACTCAGAAACAACCCATTTCAAAATTCATGCTTATGGGTTGAAGATGGAGAGGGATAGGTTTTGTAACTCCAGGACCTCTTTAGCATTTCCATTTCATACATCTCTACTGTAATCTTCCTTCTGGAGGAGGACAGCAACCTTAGTCTTGGGAAGGCAGAAAACACTATGTACTGCATATTCCCTTCTTGACAACTGTCAAAAGCCATGAAACTCACCACACATCTATTTCCTTTTATGAAGTAGAAAGTAATCATCAGTGCAGAAAACACACACACACACACACACACACACACACACAGGGCATCTGCTTTGTCACCTTTCTTAGATGAGCTCAGAGTTTGACATGGCTCAGTCTATAAAATAGCTGTGCTTTTTCAGTCCATAGAGCAATGAATTTATGAACAGAAATTTAGGACTTTTCTGTAATGCTCCATAAAGAAAGTTTACCTTATGTTCATCTATTTCTTTTTAATATTGTTGAAATGGTGGTAAACAGACTTGGATTTTACCATAACAAGTAACTACTGGTTATCTCTAGCTACCATAATGCTAGAGAAATGTTTTTCTTTGTCTATTCATGGTATCTACAATGGACTAATTGTACTTCATTGGGAATATATGAATATAACAAATATTTACATATTGCCTTTTAAAGTTTAATTCACCCTTTGAAATGTCCTATAGACTTGATTTCTGGTTCTACATAGGACATGTAACAACAAAAACAAATCATTTCTTACTAATCAAGAGGCCACAGTTGAAGATCAAAGTTTCGTCCTTTATCTTCGAGTGCCTCATGTTCTTTCTTTCTTTTTTAATTGAAGTGCAGTTGACATTCTACTATAATATGTGTGCAAATGTGAAGTTTAGTTGACATATTACTATAATATGACTATTATATTAGTTTTAGGTGCACAATATAGTGATTCAACATTTATATACATTAAGAAATGATCCCCATGATAAATATAGCTACTATCTTTCACCATACAAAGCTGTTATAAACCCTGTGTTGCATATTGTATCCTTGTTTTTCATTTATTTTATAACTGGAAGTTTATATCTTTTAATCCCCTTCCCTTATTTTGCCCATCCTCCACCCTTCCCCTCTGGCAACCACCATATTGTTTTCTGTATCTATGAGGCTGTTTCTCTTTTGTTTGTTCATTTGTTTTGTTTTTTTAGATTCCACATATAAGTGAAATCGTGTGGTATCTGTCTTTATCCATCTGATTTATTTCACTTAGTGTGATACCTCTAGGTCTATCGATGTTGCTACAAATGGCAAAATTTCATTGTTTTTTATGGTTGATTAATATTCCATTGTATGTACTATATACCACACTTTTAAAAAAATCATTTATTGATGGACACTTAGGTTGCCTCCATATCTTGGCTATTATAAATAATGTTGCAATGCAATGGGCTTAGAGGTGCACATAATCTTTTCAAATTAGTGTTTTATTTTTTTTTCAGATAAATACCCAGAAGTGGAATTCCTAGATTACATGATAAACTTATTTTTAATTTCTTGAGGAATCTCCATAACCATTTTCGATAGTGGCTGCACCATTTTGCATTCCTACCACCAGTACACTCATATTACTTTTTTTCTAGAACCAAAATATAGACATTTGTTGCTATGGGCTGAAACTAGAAGTCTGAAACCATGTAGTTTAATAGAAAGGCTGTAAATTCATTTCCTCCAGTATCAATTTTGAGAAAAATGGGGATTTTTAATGACCTGTAAATTATAGTTCTTGTATTTGATTGATTTTTATTATTTTTTGTATATATTTAAATTATTTTTAAAGATTTTATTATTTATTTATTCACGAGGGACATGGAGAGAGAGAGGCAGAGACATAGGCAGAGGGAGAAGCAGGCTCCATGAAGGGAGCCCGATGTGGGACTTGATCCTAGGACTCCAGGATCATACCCTGAGCTGAAGGAAGACGCTGAACTGCAGAGCCACCCAGGCGTCTCTATGATTAATTTTTAAATGAGATAGAATGAATTGTTCTATCCTTGCCTTTAAAAACTCCTCATTAGGAACTATGTAATTCTGCTTCTGTGGGCAGAGTCAGAATTGGTAGGTGAATGGGAAACAAATATTGCCTTCATATAAGAAAAAAAAATCCTAACAATTTGTACTTCAAAAGTATTAAAAATGGGACAAACTTCTTTTAAAGATAATGAACTTCCCATAGCTAGAAACAGTGAAGCAAAGTCTTTATGAACACCCGCCAGAGATCTTAGGTGTATATTCCTGTATTCTGCACAGTGTACGACTGCCATAGACCTGTCTATTTCAGAGATTCTGTTACAAGTAAAGAAATGGAGGAGAAAACCCATCTAGGCCAAATATTCAGTATGGCTGGAAGCTACTTACTTTGTCTTCAAGAAAGACGTTCAAATATTTTTTAACTTAGAAAGTGAAAATATTTTTTTCTATTTATTATTTGAGTTCTCCAAGAGGCATAAAATATTTTTCTTCACTTGAAACTACTACAAAAGGAATAGAATAGAAAAAGGATAGTCCTTTCTGCAAGTAGGTGTAGTCCCAGAGTTCT